TTTGGGAGTTTGCAGGGGAGGGGGGGTTTAGGGGGTAGGGGTGCAGAAAAATAAAAGAAACAGAAAATTAAAAATACAAATTTTTTTTTTGAGGGGGTTTGCGCTCGGGGGGGAGGGGGGGTTAGGGGGGTGGCGCAGAAAAATAAAAATGTAAAAGAAAACTAAGAAAGATTACATGTATTTTTGTGATTTTTTTTATATTTTAACAATACTTTTAACACGTGATTAAGTCCTATCATGTAATTAAATCCTAAACTACACTAAATTAAATATAAAAATATATTTTTTTTGTGATTTGTATGATTTAAAGCATTTTCTAAAAAAAAATCCTAAATTTCAATAAGAATAAAAATAATAAAAGTTATTTTGGATTATTTTAGGAGTAATTTGCATTAGGGCAAAAATTAGGTGCTCACACCTATATGTTGTACCTTACTTTAACTAGTTTAAAATGGGGTATAACACTTCTCTTGGGACGTGGTTTAAGAACACTTGGTCGAATCTTTCAAGTAAACTAGAAGCATATTGATGGTATGGCAAGAGATCTTCCTTCTTTACCTCGTAACTCCCCAAAAGTTGGTTGATGATTAGATTAGAGCCGCCGTAGATGTCCAACTATAGATCTTCATGTCTAATGCCATTTCGAGACAGACGATTAAAGCTTGGTACTCTGCGGCATTGTTGGAACATATTTTACCTAAAACAAAGGAGAATGGCAAGACTTGTCTTTCTAGATTGTTTCAGTTTCGTTCGGAAGTGCCATCAGTGCCAGATACACAGTAACATAATTCACGCACCGCCTTCAGAGTTACATCCTATGTCAGCGCCTTGGCCGTTTGTTGCTTGGGGCATGGATGTTATTGGGCCAATCGAGCCGAGAGCTTCAAATGGGCACAGATTTATCTTGGTTTCCATCGATTATTTCACAAAGTGGATTGAAGCAGTCACTTTCAAAACTGTCACCAAGAAAGCAGTGGTGGACTTCATGCATTCCAACATTATTTGTCGTTTTGGTATTCCTAAAATTATTACTACAGACAATGCTGCAAATATGTGTAGCCACTTGATGAAGGAGGTGTGCGAACAATTTAGAATTACTCATCGCAATTCTACCCCCTATTGGCCTAAAGCTAATGGCGTTGTTGAAGCTGCGAACAAGAATATCAAGAAGATTCTCAGGAAAATGATTCAGGGTTCCAAACAATGGTATGAGCAACTACCTTTTGCACTATTGAGATAGTGCAACCGTGCGTATATCAGTTGGGGCCACGCCTTACTTATTGGTTTATCGCCCTGAAGCCGTAATACCTGCAGAAGTTGAGATTCCCTCTCTTCGGATCATTGTTGAAGCCGAGATCGAGGATGATGAATAGGTCAAAACCCGGTTGGAACAGTTGACTGTGATTGACGAAAAGCAGATGGTCGTAGTTTGCCACGGGCAGTTGTACCAACAAAGAATGGCCCATGCCTACAACAAGAAAGGTGCGGCCCAGAAAATTTGAAGTGGGGCAACTAGTTCTGAGACGTATTCTACTGCATCATGAAAAAGCAAAAGGAAAATTTGCTCCAAATTGGAAGGTCCGTACATTGGGGCCCGTTTTCACAACTGATTTCTTTGGGGAGGCCGAAACAGCGTATGATATTCCTCCATATGAAGGTGATCACCTCTTGCTCGTGTATTTGGGCGAATGCACCTGCTTCCACCCACTTTGAAAAATAGTCAGCTAAAAATAAAAGGAAACGTACATTACCTCGTCCTGCTGAGGGGGTCGATGATGTCCATCCCCCATTTGATGAAGGGCCAAGGCGAGGCCACAGAGTGGAGAGGCGGGTTTAAATGTGTCTTTGTATCTTATAAGGTTATAATAAGTAAGAATGAGATGTTTGTAGAAAAAGGTTACCTCACTGAGGGCTTTTTCAAGCTGGATGTAATGGTTGTCGAGAATAATAATAAAATTTTAGCTTATTCTTACTTACTTGAGTCAAATGATTTATGTCATATACGTTTGGGTCATGTCAATTATAAAACCTTGCAGAAAACGATTAACTTGGAAGTATTGCCTAAGTTTGAATGTGACAAATCAAAATGTCAAATATGTGTGGAATCTAAGTATGTTAAACATCCTTATAAGTCAGTTAAAAGGAATTCAAATCCTTTAGACTTAATTCACACAGATATTTGCGACATGAAGTCAATACCATCTCGCGGTGAAAAGAAGTATTTCATAACTTTTATTGATGACAGTACTCGATATTGCTATGTTTACTTACTTAATAGTAAAAATGAAGCAATAGACGCATTCAAGCAACACAAAAATGAAGTTGAAACGCAACTTAACAAGAAATCAAAATGATAAGAAGTGATAGGGGTGGTGAATATGGATCTCCTTTTGAAGAAAAATGTTTAAGATATATAATTGTTCATCAAACAACGGTCCCTTACACGCCCCAATCCAATGGGATTGCGGAAAGAAAGAATCGTTCATTAAAGGAGATGATGAACGCATTGTTGATAAGTTCTGATTTGCCACATAACTTGTGGGGGGAAGCCGTTCTTATGGCTAACCGGATACCAAATCGAGTATCCCATATCAAAACACAATCCATTCCATATGAAAAATCGAAAGGAAGGAAGCACAACTTGAATTATTTTAAAGTGTAGGGGTGCTTGGCAAAAGTGAAAGTTCCTAAACCCAAAAGGGTAAAAATAGGACCAAAAACCATTGATTGTGTTTTCATAAGATATGCGACCAATAGTAAAGCATATTGATTTCTGGTTCATAAATCAGAAAATTCCGACATTCATAATAATATGGTTATAGAATCAGATAATGCTAAGTTTTTTGAAAATATATATCCATATAAAAAGGAATATGAGTCAATTGGTGAAGGATCTAAATGACCTAGGGAAGAAACAAAAGAAAGTACATTTAATCAGGAGGATCCAAGACGTAGTAAAAGTCAAAGAATGTCTACTTCATGTGGACCAGATTTTGTGACTTTCTAATTGGAAAATGAGCCTCGAACATTTAAAGAAGCTATGTCTTCTTCGGAATTATTGTTTTGGAAAGAAGCGGTCAATAGTGAAGTAGAATTCATATTGAACAACCATACATGGGAATTGGTTGATCTTCCTCCTAAAAATAAACCTTTGGGTTCTAAATGGATTTTTAAGAGGAAAATGAAAGATGATGGCACTACTGATAAATTTAAGGCAAGATTTGTAGCCAAAGGGTATAGACAACGAGAAGGTCTTGACTACTTTGATACATACTCTTTAGTTACAAGAATTACGTTCATACGAATGTTAGTAGCATTAGCTGCAGTTTATGGTCTTGAAATTCATCAAATGGACGTTAAGACGACCTTCTTAAATGGAGGTTTGGAGGAAGAAATCTACATGGAACAACCTGAAGGGTTTATGGTTCCAGATAAAGAAAAGAAGGTATGTAGACTTGTTAAGTCCCTTTACGGACTAAAACAAGTACCCAAATAATGGCATGTGAATTTTGACCAAACAATGTTGTCAAATGGTTTTAAGATAAATGAATGTGATAAATGTGTGTACATTAAAAATGTTCCAAATCACATAGTCATTGTTTGCTTATATGGGGATGATATGCTGATAATGAGTAATGACATTGCCAACATAAATGCGACTAAGCGTATGCTAACTAGCAAGTTTGATATGAAGGACTTGGGAGTTGCTGAATTAGTTATGGGGATTAAGATCCATAAGACTCCTCAAGGTCTGGCATTGTCACAATCTCATTATATTAAGATAGTACTTGAAAAATTCAAGCACTTAGGGTTTAAAGTTACAAAGACTCCAATTGACGTGAATCTTACATTAGCAAAGAACAAAGGCCAAAGCATATCACAATTGGATTATGCTCATATGTTGCGATGCTTAATGTATATCATGAATTGTACACAACCGAATATAGCTTGTGCTATAGGTAAATTGAGTCGATACACGAGCAATCCAGGTCAATTGGATTATGCTCATATGTTGGGATGCTTAATGTATATCATGAATTGTACACGACCAGATATAGCTTGTGTTATAAGTAAATTGAGTCAATACACGAGCAATCCAGGTCAATCTCATTGGATGGTAATGAAACGAGTTTTGGGATATTTACAACATACCCAAAACTTTGCTTTGCACTACAGTA